ATATCTATGTTACTTGCTCAAACCCAAAACAATAACAACAAATCATTTTGGCTGGCTTTTGTACAATGCACAGCCAATACTTGTGTTAATGCAGACATGTATGTTTACCTTTGAATGTTTGTGTTTCCAGAGCAAGGGGACCAGAAACTGGATGGCACAGGTGATCCAATCTTTTAGAATCCCTCTGTTGCAGACTCCTCAGAGTTCTACATCCAGAACAGCTTCAAAGCTGCTGACTGAGCTATGCCTTGTGCCACTGCAGAGGGCTAGATTCCCCATAGCTAGTTTCCTCAGGAGTTGACTATTATCTCAATTTTCTCAGGCTCTCAAAAGATGCCATTGTCTACAGACAACAGGAAGGAATGAACTCTAGAGAGGTGGGGTAGGTGGTTTTTGGTCATTTGATGGGTTATGGATTTTTATAATTACTGTGCAGTGGGGGGGAGACTGGTTACAAGTTGTTATTGTCATGGTCAGGAGAAAAGCTGAACCAAGGAGATTAGATTCCGGGATCTCTTTCTGAAGGGAAAACGGGAGGGATATAACATAGGCATGGTGTGATAAAAGGGTGGATTGTTGAGTGTACTTTTGAACTTAAAAAAAAAAAAAAAAAAAAAAAAAAAAAAAAAACTGGTAGTCTCAAGTATTTTACAAAGGTATGGATTTTTGTATATTGGTACAAATTTAAAGTTACTTTTGTTATACTATATATATATATATATGTTACTACTTTTGTTTAAGGTATTGTAACTATTCAGCTCATTTAACAATGTAATGTAAATTTCTAGCCCTCAAAAGTTATTATTAGAAACTATTTAGGATAATTAAGAAACACAGGTTAGTAAGTACTCAACTAAAAATCTAATTTGTGGCCATGTTACATATGTTTTCAAGGTCAAACAATACGTTTTAAACAGATAGTTTTCAAATACTTCAAAGTCCTATGGAATATAGCATAAATGTTTTAATAACAAGGCTTTTCATGACAGTGAGATATGTCTGCTTCTAATAGCACCAATTTACTTCAAAATAGGATGACGGATATCAAAGAACCTCCACATGGCATCTGCATTCTGTCCTTCCCTTGACTGCTAGCATTTGCTGCCCAAATTAGACAAGCAGGACACGAAAGAAGGCAACTGCTATACTTTGCCAAGACAAGTTATTCAAACTTCCAGCTTCACAGAACAGTGTGTCTGATATTCTAGGCCTGTAGGCCAAAGATGGATGCTCCAACACTGCAAAGGAACCTTGGGTGACTGTCCAGGCAGCCAGCAGCTTCTGTCATTTCTATAGTCTGAGAAGATATTTGCTTTACTGAGGTAATATTACATCCTCTTCGGGTCTCTCATGGAGTTGAAGATGAGACAGTTATAGTTACTTTTCCCTGCTACCAAATTCAGAAAACCCACAAGAGAGGTATAAAGTTTATAAAGCTGAGAAACATAAAAGCTTAAGTTGTTTATCCAAGAAAACATTTTGAGGTCTAAAAAGATAGTTTTGGGTTGGTAATACAAGTTATGATAAGAAAGAGGTTTAGGTATAGAACTTTGGACTTATCAAGATAGATTATATAATAGAGTGTTTTCTCTGAAATTGCCAAATACAAATGGACTGGACATTGTAAATGTAATCTTACCTTATAATTCTTAGACAGTTTTACTATGTTAAGACTTAAAACCTTCCCTTTTTATTTAGACAAAAAGGGGAAAATATTATGAGATATTTGACTACACTATATAAAGATGTGTTACTGTGATGTTTAATAAAATGCTAAATGGCTAATAGGTAGGTAGGGAGGACAGTTGGAACTTCCTTGGAGAGAAAGGAGGAGGAGGAATTGAGCAGAGGGAGATACCATGGAGCGTGCAGAGGAAACAGGAGGTAAAGGTGGAGGAGAGGTTAACAACTCGTGAGAGAGCATAGATGAAAATAAATGGGTTAATTTAAGTTCTAAGAGCTATCAGTGGAGTTTCCATAATTAGTAAGAAGTCTCCATGTCATTATTAGGGAGCTGGCTGGCAGGACAGACAGACTTGTCAAAGACTGCACTTGAAATTCCTCTGAACACCCTGCATACCTGATCATTCTCTCTGAACACACGCTTGCTCTCACCACACTGCATACTTATTTACCTGTGTCCCCCTTCCCCGACCACTATACACCACTTCTGGTACCGAATCAGACTGAGGCAATTCTTCAGTGGGTCAAATAATCAAAATTATAATTTTGAAGTTATTTTATTTTTAGTTGTATGTAATATATGTATCTGTGTGTGAGTTTGTGTACATGTAAGTGCAATGCCCATGGCGTCCAGAAGATATCACTGGATCTTGTGAAGCTGGAATTACAGGCAGTTGTGAATAGTCCAACATGGGCATTGGAGACCCATCTTAAGTCCTCTGGAAGAGCAGCAAGGACTCTGAATCACGGAACAATATGTCCAGAAAACCCTCCAAATTATATTGCAAAATACTATTCACTTTTTTTTATTAATGCAATTATTTGATCCCACTATTGTATATGCTTACTAAAATCAATTAAAAATTCAAGTCCAAGCTGGGCGGTGGTGGCACACACCTTTAATCCCAGCACTCAGGAGGTAGAGGCATGCGGATGTCTGTGAGTTCGAGACCAGCCTGGTCTACAAGAGCTAGTTCCAGGACAGCCCCCAAAACCACAGAGAAACCCTGTCTCGAAAAACAAACAAACAAAACCCTTAAGTCCATTGTATACATTACTACATACTAAAAGTAGTTAATGTTTTCATGTTTATGTATTTGTTTATTGTTAAATGTGTATATCCCTATGTAGATATATCAATAGGGATCCTCTGGAGCTGGAGTTACAGGCAGATGTGAATCAATGAACATGGGTGCTGGGAACCAAACTTGCATCTTCTGCAAGAGCAGCACAAACTCTTAACTGCTAAGCCATCTCTCCAGCCCCTTAAAGGTTTATATCATTCAGAATTATGAGGTATTTTAAAATGGGCATATAGCTGGGTGAGCACATGTTTGATCCCAGCACTTGGGAAACAGAGTGCAGTGGCACATTTCTGCAATCCCACAACTGAGATGGCAGAGGCAGGTGTTTACTTTAGGACAGTCAGAGCTACTGTCTCAAAACATAAACAGAATGTTCTAATAATATAAAAGGATTTTTTGATAAGCTAGGAAGGGCATTATTTCTATTTAAATTATTAGAGCATGTCTAAAATTTTGCTGTTCAAAGTATTTTCCAATATGAAGTGTACCTAAATAACAAGGGGTTCAGTTACAGTGAAAAGAGAATTGTGGAAGTGAATTTGGTTTTGGACACATCATATTATAACAATTTCCATTTTTCTTATGAGCCAAGATGAATGTGTGCTCAAAAGTAAAAGTAAGAAGCTTTTACTTACTTTTTCTGCAACTAGTTCATTTCTTCCATACTGAAAACCAGGCCCTTGTCTGTGACCAGGCTGTGTGTGCTCTTGCTCTTACTTGTGCTCCCAACATGCTTTTTTTGTCTCCTTTATTTTGAAGGTTTGCTTTAATATTACTTAAAATTATCATTGCCAGGGCTAGAGAAACAGCTCAGCAGTTAAGAGCACTGGTTGCTCTTCCACAGATCCTGAGTTCAATTCCCAGCAACCACATGGTGGCTCACAACCATTAGAGTAGGATCTGTTGTCCTCTTATGGCATAGTCACAACGCAGAGAATTCGTGTAAAAAAAAAAATTGCCATAAAGACTTCAAAAATATGATCAAATTCACAATTCCTTTCATGGAGGGCTTTACACATAAAATCATCTTCTCTCTTATACTCAAGGCCAGTTTTGCCTCACATTTCTATTTTTTATGAATTTTGAATCAGGTATATGGTCTCCTTCCTATTCCTCCAAATCCTGCTGACATTTAGTTCTATATCTGAATACTTAGGCTAGAATTCCATGTAGACTTATCATGTACAATATCTTTTCTCGTGTAATTTATATACACGCATTTCTAGTTTGGTTTATTTCTAGATTTTTATTTATTTATTTATTTATTTTTTGTCCTACTGCTGCTAAATTCCTTTCTTTTGGTATACTTTTAACTAGTTACTAATCAGAGACCTGAAGATTACTGGCTTCTCTTTATAAATTTTATTCCCTGGTGTCCACACCAATTCTATCTGTCAGAGTCTCTCAGTTAACTATTGGGCCTTTATGTGTAGACTAAGTCATTTATCAAATTATTTTTTTTATCAAGTTCTTTCCAATTTTTTGGTCCTCCCCGCCTTTATCTAACTGCTTTGGCCAATAAATATCTGCAGATCATTTTTAAAAATTGAATTTATTGAGGTGGGGTTAGGTACATAGACGAGCAGGTAGTGTGTGAGCTTGGGTGTGTGTGACAAGGTCCCAACTTTTGGGACAACTTTTGGGAATCAAGTTATTTCCTTCTACCATGTGTCCCAAAGACAGAACTGAGGAGAAGCTACCTGGCTTGCATGGAAAGTGCTTTTACTTGATCAGCCATCTTGCTGGCCTGGCAAAACAATATTAAATAACAATGAAAAGACTTTAAAACTCTTTACAAGAATGTTTCTATTATTTCCCCATTAAACATGATGACAACTTTTAGATTAGGGCAGATATTAAAAAATGTAAGTATTGGGCTGGGGAAGATGGCTCAGCAGTTAAAGGCTAGGCTCACAACCAAAAAAGATAAGAATGTAAGTATTTCCAGATTGATTTCAGCTTTAAATTTAAGTCAAGAATGAATACTGAATTTATTAAGTCAATTATAATGACGATGAAAGGACACCATTAAAAATCTTCTTTTTGAGCCCAGTGTGGTAACGCATGCCTCTAATTTCTGCACTTGGGAGTCAGAGGCAGGCAGGTCTCTGTTAGTCCAAGGCCAGCCTACAACATAGCAAGTTCCAGGCCAGGTAGTGCTACAGAGTAAGATACGGTCTCAAAAATATCCCAGAAGATCTTTTTGTCATTTACTATGAGAAGAAAACTTACATTAGATTGTCTTCATTAAAGTCTGGTTGAAGAGTCTCCAGGGGAAACAAAGATCCAAATCCAACGCCCATGTTTAAAAACACAGCTGCTACATCAGACAACGATGGGATCCAGGGCCAAACTGGTGAGTCACTGAAAGTATCTGCTAACACAAGAAACTATTTTATTGAAATCACTCGTACACAAAGGCACACTGCAAAACAGCAGTCAGCCTGTGAAGCAGATTATTATCATTTTTTTCCCTCCTGGGATTATAGGCATATGCCACCATACTTGGCTTTTATCACAATGACTTCACAGAGATGCTAGCTGCTAATGCTATGTCAACTACATAGTTAAGGTACATCATAGAAAGTGTAACTTACCAGATTGTGTGAACTAAATAATACAAAGAAAATTAGAGTGATCCATCAGTGTGTAAATCATAAGGAATTATTAATATGCTCTGAAATGATTAGAAATGATTACAACACTGGTTAATACCTAACTACCATTAACACTGGAAGATTTTCTCATCTTCAGTGGCCTTACAGTCTACTTCAATAAGTGATTGGCTAAATTACAATGCTTCTTGTAGTAAAAGGGCCTTCAAAGTCGAGAAAGCAACACTCACACAATTAACACACTATTAAGACAATACTGTTGTTAATTCATAAGCAAGCTAATGTCAGTTGATTAAATCTGAGCCCAGAGGTATATACTTGTAATCCCAGCACTCAGAAGGCTGAGATAGAAAGGAGCAAGAGTTCAAGGCCAGCCCAGCTTACAAAGTTAGTTTGAGATAGCCTAAGCTACATGACACTGTGTCAATAGCAATAAGTAAGCCTAAATAGTAGTAATTTTAATTGGGTGATTTAATACAAGAATAATCTTCCAAATATTTCTACTGGCCCTATAACATAACCTCACCTGTTAAACATTAAAGGTTGTCATCTGTAAGATCTGAGAGCTTTGTACTCAAAGAACACAGAAAATCAGATATTTGTTTTTGATGGGTATTTCATTTCTTTTTAAAAATAAAGATAAGTGATTAGAGGGTTGGAGAGATGGCTCAGTGGTTAAGAGCACTGACTGCTCTTCTAGAGGACCCAGGTTCAATTCCCAGCACCCATGTGGCAGCTCAGAACTGTCTAATTCCAGTTCCAGGGGACCTGAAACCCATGGCAAAACACCAATACACATAAAATAAAAATTAATAAATTAAAAAGGTGTGATTACAAAAAAATAACTCAAGAGTTAGGAAGACCCATGTTTAATCTCTAGTACCAGCAAAAACAAAACAAACAAAACCACAATTCTAATATTAAGCAAAATGAAAGAGATCATGAAATAAATAACAGCATATACTACAAATCAGTTTATGTACTCACCATTTTTAATGGTGATCTCCATCAAAGTACTTAAAATTTGTACTGACACAATACAATTTGTGTGAACTGACATCATCTGTAAAAGGCATAAATAACAAAGTATTAGAAAGAAAGAAAACATGAGTTTAATATTTGCTATGCTTATATAAAGCTGTCTTCAGTTTGGTTGTTAGTATTCAGGTATCCGTAGTGGCCTGTCCTTAGGGTTCTGACAGGACACACCCTAAGCTGCAGGCACTAAGAGCACCACCTGAGCACATTCACTATGTTCCCTTTGAAAAGGGCCCGCCCACCTCCCATCCTTCTCTCCTTCTCTGTCTCTTCCCCTTCCCCTCCCCCTCTTCCCTCTATCCTGCTGCTCCTGTCCCTGGAGGCTGCTTTCCTCCCTCCCATTTCCCTTTTTTTATGATCCCTTTCCCTAATACCAAACCCCTCTGCTTGAACCCTGTCCCATGGCTTTTCTTTCTTCCTTCCTTGCGCCACTTCTATTAAATTACAACACTGGTGATATGGACAATGTTACTAATCCTAGTTCTTTAGGAGGCTAAGACAGGAAAAGTATAAATGTGAGTACAGGCTGGGCAAAGGAGTGACATCCCACTTCCAAAATAGTTGTATGTATAAATAAACAGACCAATACCTCACCAATGAGACACATATTCACTAACAGATACAAAGGAGTTGGAACCAAACACCGTCTAGTCTCAGATCAGGCCTCCTTCTAACAGGCTATTTGGTTTCTGGTGTTTTTATTTTTATAACTTCTACTTGTAACTATAAAGTTACTTTTCTATGCTGTAGCACCACTCCCAAACTAAACAGAAAGGAGGGGCTGGGAGACTTAGTTGTCCAAGTGTTGGTGAACAAGTATGAGGACCTGAGTTCTATCCTCCGTACCCACATAAACCCCAAGAATGTCTGGGTATGGTGGTGCACACCTTTAATTACATAACTTGGAAGGCAAAGGCAGGCAGATTTCTTCTAAGTTTGAAGCCAGCCTGGTCTACAAAGAGTTCCATATCATTTAGGGCTATATGTAGTGAGACCTCCCTCAAAATACAAGCAAACTCAAATATGGTATTGTACATTTGGGTTTTTGTAGTTTGTTACTTTCATGTGTATGAGTGCTTTGTTGATTGTATGTCTGTGCACCACATGAATACAGTTCCCAGGGAGGCCAAAAGGGGCATCGGATCCTCTGGGACTGGAGTTTAGATAGCTGTGTGTTGCCAGGTAGGGCTGGGAATTTAATCTGGGTCCTGTAGAAGAGCAGACAGTGCTCTTCACTACTGAGCCATCTCCCCAGTTGGGTGATATGCATTTGTAATCCTCAGCTTTGGGGAAAGACACAAGGATCCTTGGAATTCATCTGTCAACCCAGTCTAGCCAGTAAGTGAGCTCCAAAAAACCCGTTTCAAAAAAAACCGAGGACACCCACGTCAACCCCTAGCCAATACATGACTGTGCACATGCATACGCACACCTTCTAACTCCCATCACCCCAAACCATAAAGAAAAAGACTGCTCCTAAAATGATCATAGGCAAAAATCACATAGGGCCGGGAAGATAGTTTAGTTGGTAAAATGTTTCCTGTGCAAGAGGACCTGAGTTCAATCACCAAAACCTGTGGAGGGAAAAGCCAGTTGCCATGTTCTGTGCATTCAATTGCAATGCTAGTGAGGTACAGGGAGGTGAATTCCCGGGGCTTGCTGGGCGTGGTGGTTTGAGTGAAAATGGTCCCATAGGCTCATAGGTAGGAGGCATGGCCCTGGAGAAAGTGTGATGCTTGGGGCAGGCTTTGAGGTCTCAGAAGCTCAAGCTAGGCCCAGTGTCACTCTCCCTGCTGACCCACTTGTAGAATTCTCGGCTTCCTGTCACGAACCTCTGAACTGTAAGCCAGCCCCAATGACATGATTTTGTTTGTAAGAGTTGCTGTGGTCATGGTGTCTCTTCATAGCAATAGAAACCAAACAAAGACATCCATGTAGCCTAGTCTACACAGCAAGCCCTGGCCAATAAGAGATTCTTTATCTCAAAGAACAAGTGGGTGGCACTTAAGGAACAACATTCAAGGTTGACCCCTGGCCTCTGCATTTAAGCATGGACACAGGAAAATCAAATTACAAATTAGTAATTGAAGTTACAAATAAAAATATACCCATACATTTTAGCTGGACTTTAGCTAAGTATCTAAAATTGGCCTTATTAAGGCTTGATCTTCTTGTTTCTATCTCCTAGGGTGTACCGTAGCACTACCACATGAACCCACTTTGCAACCGTTCTTTTTAAGGGAGAGAGGATTTAACTTGGCTTATGGTTTTAGGGGATCGCCCTATCACAGGAGAGACAGCACAGAGGCTGGACAGGTGTACTGTGAAACAGAATTCATTCATATTTTACTTTTGAGACGGTTTCATGTTGTTCGGGCTCAAATTATCCTGAAGAGAGACCACAGGGTCTCTCACTGAACCTGGAGCACACCATTCTCCCTAGATCAGGTGGGTATTCAGCAACTCCCTCCCAATTTACTGGCCTCTACTCTCCTCGTGGCTCTGCTGGGATTACAGATGTGTACAGCTGTGCACAGCTTTTACGTGACTTCTGGGGTCTTAACCTGAACTTAGGCCCTCATGCTTGTGAAGGAAGAAGCACTTCACCCACTGCCAATTCCCCACGCCCAACTAAGACACCTTAAAAAGATGTTCGGTTGTCACCAGAGACACAAGGGAGAATAATAACTATGTCCTGGCTGCCTTCAAGGAAGACAGCTAGCTGGTGGTGGAGCATGACTTAAATCCCAGCACTCAGGAGGCAGAGGCAGGCAGATCTAAGTTTGAGGCCAGCCTGGTCTATAGAGCGAGTTCCAGCACAGCCAGGCTGGTTACACAAACAAACAAACAACTGTACAATCTTATTCCCCATCTTTTCCATGTTAGAATGTGGGTTTTATGTGCCGTTCCATCTAGTTCCTGGCATAGCTGACACTAAAAAAGTGCTAACCACATACAAGAATTAAAGAGAAGAGTATACTAGAATGTCTGATTCTTGCTAAACATGAGATTCCTAGACTATTCTCAAAGTTCAGAGTAGAAATGCTATGTCTTCCTATGTGAGGTGGTGCAAATGAAAATGGACCCATAGGTTCACAGGGAGTGGCACTATCAGGAAGTGTGGCCTTGGAGGTTTCCTATGATCTTGCCAAGCTTCTTCCTGCTGCCTGCCAATCTGTGAAACAGTCCTAGCTGTCCTGGAACTCACTCTGTAGACCAGGCTGGTCCCTAACTGCCTGCCTCTGCCTCCTGAGTGCTAGGATTAAAGGCATGCGCCAACTACCTCTCCAGCACCAAGTCTGTCTGCATGCGGCCATACTCCCCATCATGACAATAATGGAGTAAACCTTTGAACTATAAGTCAGCCCCAATTAAATATTTTCCTTTAAAAGAGTCGCTGTGGTCATGGTGTCTCTTCACAGCAACAGAGACTCTAAGACAACATACAATGGAGTTTTCTGATGTCAGTAATACCTGGGTCCTCTGCAAAAGCAGCCCATGAGCTCTTAACTGCTGGCTCATCCTCCCCAGCCCATCCAATAACAGGTAAGGTAGATCTCTTTGGGTGGAGGCCTGGTCTATATAGTGAGTTCCAGGCCAGGAGGGCTACATAATAGTAAGACCATCTTAAAAGATAGGATTTCTAGGACAAGACTTTTATGTGTACGAACATGAAGGCACACACAGGCCCCATTAAGACAAAGGTCAACACTGGCTGTCTTCCTGTATGACTCTGACTTTCACTGATTGGAGGTGGATGGAACAAATGCATGCCATGGCAAGCCAGTCATCAGAGGACAACCTCTGGAGCCTGCTGTCTCCTACCATATGGGATCTAGAGACTGAATCCAGGTTGTGAGGCTTGGAGGCAAGCATCCTTACTGAATGAGCCTTCTTGCCCAGCCCATTTTATCATACTTGTTGAGAAAGGGTCTCTTGCTGAACCTGGAGCTTATTAATTCAGCTACAATAGCCAGCCAGTGAGCCTCCAGGGTCTCCTTGTACCCACTTCCAGCTCTGGAGTTGCAGAGATGTGTTGCCACTCACTGCATGCAGACTGGTCCTCCGAGTCTGAACTTAGATCCCTTGTGCAGGAAGATTTTTTATGTATTGAGACATCTCCTTTGCTGAGAAGGCAAACTTTTGCATAGTGTAAAATATCCTCTTATACTTAAAAACTGTTTCTCCTATTGTTTTCTATACACCTAAAATTTTATTAAAGTAGAACACTGCAGTAACCTGAGAAAAATGTGACATGAATCTTGACCTTTGAAGGAGAATAGTTTCCCTTAACTGGGTGTCATTGGAAACAGAGGCCACCAAAGCACCGTATTAAATTTCAAATTACTATCTGCCTGATATGTCAAGAGTAGTAAATGTATGCATTCGTGTTCAACATATCTAGATGAACACCAAAACAATATATAAAATCAACACTGCTTAAATAAAACAAAAATGAAGATACAGCTGGCCATAGTGGTGCATGACTTTAATCCCAGCATTCAGGAGGCTCAGGCAGGAGGATCTGAGAGTTTGAGGCCAGCCTGGTCTACAGAGTGAGTTCCAATACAATCAGGGTTGTTACACAGAGAAACCCTGTCCTAAAAAAACAGGAAAAAAGGAAAATATATAAATGGATTTAAGAATGGACAGGGGAGAGAAACAGTTGGGTTTGCACTTAGAAATTTAGAAAAAAAATTCATTTATTCATTTTGTGTTGTGTGTGTGAGGGGTGTGTGTGCACATGATCCACATAGAGGCCAGAGCACCACTTTCATGAGGTAGTTCTTTCCTTCTACCATGAGGGACCTGGAAAATGAGCTCAGGTTGTCAGGCTTGAGGCATCCTACTAGTTTACTGAGGTATCCTAGAAATTTATTGAGTAGGAAATATAGCAGGAATCCACAATAAGCCCCAAATATTTCTTACCCGAAACAGCCACTTTAACACAGGTACAGGACACTGGACGTAGTGGTATGCAGAGGTAAGGAACCCTTGTGTTGTCAAAAAAATCTGATCTGTTTTTCCTGATCTGAAAACAGGAGATTAATGATTGTTACCCATGGTAAAACACTTCAAGCACCAACACATTTGACACAATCAGAGAAATGAGTAAGCAAACCTCAGTCAATGGAGATACATTCCATAATAACATGGAAGAGGTTTACATAAAAAAAATCAAATAAAGCCTAGCTGACTCAGTCGATGGGCTCCAGATTCCTCTGTGGACAAAGGTACATTTGCATGCAGCGCTCAGAGTCTACCAAGTCTCAGGACATGGGCTTTTGTCAATTTAGGGATGAACTTCCTAAAACTCAGCACCAGAATCCACATTATTTTCTAGACCTGAAATGCCACACACTGAGACCCATCCTAGTCTAGGCATTGAGCTGAGCCTAAGAGCGGTCCCCCAGTAATAATCTGTGTTTTGTCTTCTCAATGGTACCGAAGTTCTGAAATTTACCTGGGCAAAAACACTTGCTATGTATGGCATTGCTAACTGAAGTTCAGTCAATCAGCAGAAATCAAGCACAAGTTGTATGTGCTTTCTGGGAAACTGAACACAAAGCTGGCACTATTAAGCAATAAGACACTGTCCATGCAGAAAAAAAAACATGGCAAAAACAATACACCAGAGCCAGGAATTCCTAGACATGAAGTAAAACAAATCTGGTTAAGCCTCTGCAATTTTGACAGCCACTGTTATTACTCTTTTATCAGCACTGATCCTTTCTTTTGTGGTACTGGGAATATGTCTTTTGGAGACAAAGTCTTGCTCAGGGCGACTTCAAATGTGCAATCTTCCTGCCGCAACAACTTTAGGATTATAGGTGCAAACTGCAATGGCTGGATTTTACATCATTTCCTCACTTTGAGATAGTATCTCCTGTAGCCCAGACAGCTGGAAAACTTGCATTGCAAATGAAGACCACTTGGAACTTCTCATTTTTCACCTTTATCAACCAAGTGCAGAAGATCACACAGTATATGCTGTATATGCCTGTATATGCTACATAATCACTCTACCAAATGAGCAACATTCCCAGCCATTACATATAGATCTTAATCCTAGCCAATAAAACGTAAGGGATGTACCATGGTTGAAGCTTTCGGTTTTACTTCTAGCACTGTAAACAAAAGGAAAAATCTGTGTTGATGTGATGGTAATACCAGCACCCAGGAGGCAAAGGCAGGCTCTTTCACTAGTCCCCAACTGAAGCTTTTAAGAGCAACTTTAAAAAAAAGATTTTAGTTTATGTGTATAGGTGTTTTGTCTCTGTGATGGTTATTCTTAGCTGTTGACTTGACCTAGAACTAAAACACTCAAACTCAGAGATCCATCTGCCTCCTGAGTGCTGAGATTAAAGATGTGCACAATAAGTATAATTAATCAATGAGCCATCTCTTCAGCCAAAACCCCAAATATTTACAATTTACTTACTTGAGAATAAGCTTTTCCACAGCACTTTCTCCAATAAAACCAGAGTCTCTTAAATCTAAGGTATACTGATTGAAAATTTTTCCAGAATCGGGGAAATTAAATATTTCTTCACCTGGATGATGATCAGGAATAGCATCAATTGTAACTGAAAATTTCTTTAGAAATTCCCTGAAACACAAAGACAATTGAATATCAAAGAGTTAGGATACAAATGGTTTTGTACTTAAAGATGAAGGCAGTCAGCTGAGCAGTGGTGGTGCATGCCTGTGATCCCAGTACTCTTGTCAGTTCAAGGCCAACCTGGCCCACAGTCATGTTCCAGGACAGCCAGGGATATATCAAGAAACCCTGTCTCAGTACAATCATGTTCCAGGACAGCCAGGGATATATCAAGAAACCCTGTCTCAATAAGAATGTTTTGCCCTCTTCCTTAAAGCTTGTGGTAGCACACACCTTCAATCCCAGCACTCGTGAAGCAGAGGCAGGTGGATCTCTGTGAGTTGGAGGCCAGCCTGTTCTACAAAGCTAGTTCCAGGACAGCTAGGGTTACACAAGAAACCCTGTCTCGAAAAACTAAAAAACAAAACTAAAGACCCACAAAACAACAAAAAAACCACTGAGTATCTCAGTGTGAAGACACGTACCTTTCTTCTTCTTTTTAAGGCAGGGTTTGTCTGTGTCTGTCTGGCTGTCCTGGAACTTGCTCTGTAGATCAGGCTGACCTCTTAGAAATCAGAGATCTGCCTGCCTCTGCCTCTCAAGTACCAGGATCAAAGGCTTATGCCAGTACTGTCCCGAGTACCTTGGTTTTAATGTTTGCCTCTCAACAAAACCCAAGTGTATCTCATACTGGGCAACCAGTCATCAGTGGCCAGATATTTTATAAAAACCAAATTAAAAAATGATAACTAGTACTAGAAGCTTATAGATGGTGTGAAAAGACACTACCTGTGTTCTTCCAAGAGGCCATCCTCATCATCTGTACTGTCCTGGTCACCAATTCTGATAGGAGATTTAATGCCTCGGCCTTGTCTTATATCTTCCTGTAGCTGCTTCTGTAGTTCATCTAGCCTGAAAATTGAAAGAATGTCATAATACATTATTTACATTTATTTATTTTTGAGACAGGCTCTCTCCATGCTGTCTTAGAACTCTATATAGATCAGGTTGGTCTCAAATTCAATAGAGATCCACCTGCCTCTGCGTCCCAAGTGTTGGGAGTACCAGCACACACACCAGGATAGGCTTACGATTTATTTAAAAAACAGAGCCAGTTCTAGGACAGAAGACAGCCAAAGGTACAGAAAAAAAAAAAAAAAAAAACCCTGTATTTAAAAAAAAAAAAAAAAAAAATCAACCAACCAAAAAACCAAACAACTTCCTACAAATAAACAAACAAACAAAAAACAACAATAAACCCAACAGAAACTCAGACGACTTTAGCTGTTATCTAAAAGCAGCCCCAAGGAAAACTCTTACTATATACTCCGTTTTAAACAAATTCTGTTAGAACAAAGGGTAAATCATATCTTGACAATACATTACACTATTTTTAAAAACTTCCATTTTATGGGTAAATGTTTTGTCTACATGCATGTCTGTGAACCATGTGCATGCATTGCCCATAGAGGCCAGAAAGAGGGTGTTGCATCTCCTAGCACTGGAGTCACAAATGGTTGTGAGCCATCAAGTGGGTGCTGGGACTCAAACCTGGGTCCTCTGGAAGAACAACCAGTATGCTTAGTCACTGAGCCATTTTTCTAGACCCTTGAATATTTCTCTACAGCTAGAAATTTAAGAATGATCGGTCCAAACCAGAGAACAGAAAAAGAATAATGGTAAATAATGATCAAATTTGATTTTCTTTTCGGTCTTTAAAACTCACTGACATCTTGTAGACCAACACCCTGATGTTAATTAGGTTTTTGTTCTCATCATGGTCATCCTATTATTATCACCACCACATCTAACACTGAGTGAGCATTTACTATGGAACACCCAACCATAAACTCTTGGTGAGACTAAAGGAAAACAAGCCATCAACAGACTCACTGTTCTTTCACTACTGATGGGTCAAGCATCACATCAAATGTTACTTCTGTCTTTGGTCTGGGAAAGATATTATTGCTATTACCTGTGTTTGCGTGCACATGTACTAAAATAGGTCTTGTGATGCATCCTAGATTGGCCTCACACTTGAGATCTTTCTGTCTCCACTTATGTGTTGAGATTACTGGTATGTATCACTACATGTAGTAATGCTTAATTTTAAACAACTTCTCTAAATTCATAGGGAAAAACTTTTAACCTAAATGTCTGAAAATTTTCTATAGTTATGTTTAACAAGTTTGAGATTTGTATATATTAACTTTAATGTAATCCAGTCAGCTAAACTTAAAGTGACTTAAAATTGATTTTGAAAGCAGGAGTGGTGGCATATGCCTTTAATCCCAGATCTTTGTGAGTTCAAGGCCACTGAGCCATGTCATCTACTCCTGTTAACTAAACTTTAAATGAAGTTTTCTGGGCTAGTTTCATGGGTAGTATTTGAATAAATAAGGCATACTATTCTCATTAGCAATAAGTCTATAACTAGTCACATAATTTTTTAATTCAAAGTTTAATTTGTGTATGTGCCATGTGTGGCCTCCATAGTGGCCAGAAAAGAGTATCAGAACTCCCGGAAGTTGTTGTGAGCTACTAGACATGGGCTTTAGGAAACAAAAGCAGGCCCTCTTGAAGAATAGCAAATGTTCTTAGCCAGTGAACCATGTCTCCAGGCTCACGGCTTAAAATTTTTATTTTTTAATTTTTAAAATCATATTTAAGCCAGGCACATGCTTTTAATGCCCACATTCAGGAATCGGAGGCAAGCAGATCTCTGTGAGTTCCAGAACAGTCAGAATTAGTGACATCCTATCTCAAAAAAAACAAAACCAACCAACCAAAATTAGCCTTATTTGCATGCGTGTATGTGTGTGTGTGTGCATACATACAAAGTGTGTGTGTAGGCCAGAGGACCACTCAAGAGTTAGTTCCCTCCTTTCATTATCTGAGTCTTAGGGATTAAGTCTGGTGTTGAGCAGAAAGTGCTTTTGCTCACTGAACCATCTCACTGGCCATCCACTTACTTATGAGACAGACACTGAACTCGTAGCATTCCTCCTGCCTCAGTATCCCAAATTCTTGAATTACAACAATTGCCACTAAATTCAGCTAGTCACATATATTTCATTGGGGTAATTATGACCCTCAGTTTTCAGATATGTATAAAATGGACTGCTTATAATCATTTTAAACTATTCTTCCAAAGAGTAACATGATATAGGAATACATGAGCAGTCATTTCGGGCATCAGTTTTGAAACTTGTACTTAATGTTGGGCATGGCGGTACACACTTGTAATCCCAGAATTTGGGGAGGTTGAGAGGCAGAACCAACCTTTGGGGCCAGCTATGGCAACATAGTGAGATCATGTCTAACTAAGAAAATAACCATCCCCCAGCCCAAGAAAACATGACAAAAATGCTTGATACCAGAAACATGAAAAAAAAAATTTTTTTTTTGGTTTTTAGTAAAAAGTGAGAGATTTATACAATCTGAAGAGAAACCAGAGTATTTTTGTTTGTTTTTTATAATGTTTATTTCTGCTGACTGGTGATGGCACATGCCATTAATTTCAGCACTCAGGAGGCAGAGGCAGGGAGCTCTGTTGAGTTTGAGAACTGCCTGCTCTACAAAGTAAATTCCAGGACAGCCAGAGATAGGGAAACCCTGTCTCTAGAAAACCAAAACCAAAACCAAACAAAAAACCCCCCAAAATAAATAAAATGATTCACCTTACAACTGGGTAGTGGGGTACCTCTAATAATGATCCAGCAATCCCAGCTACAACAGAGATTGAGACAGTTCAGTAGGCTACTTTATACCCAGGAGTTCCAGCCCAGCCATAGCATTTCCCTAAGTGTAATCAATTTATAACAAAGAGTGGTTCCTTACTCAGAGCAGTTTATATCCAAATTATATGAAAATTGGGTTTTCTCAGAGTTAAATGTTGCTAATTTTTTATTTGTTTTTTGAAGACAAGGCTTCTCTGTGTAATAGCCCTGGCTGTCCTGGAACTCACGCTGTAGATCAGGCTGGCCTCGAACTCACAGAAATCTACCTGCCTTTGTCTCCAGAGTACTGGTTGGTATTAAAGTTGTACACCACCACCATCTGGCAAGTGCTGATAATTTTTAAAAAAAATATAGAAAGGTTCATAAATCTTTGTCATCCTTGCATAGGAGCCATGTTAATGTTTGCTATATTGTTCCAATTTTAGTATATGCATTGCTTAAGCAAGCACAACATAAAAACATCCCAAGAAAAGGCTCTCCTATCTTTTGTGCCAACAATAAAAACTAACTGATTAAAAACAGGTAAAGGCTCTGAACAGACATTACTAAAAAATTAGGAAAAGCCTAATGTAACACAAAATTATATTTAAAATGCCAATCAAAATCATGGCTATTAAAAAAGGAAAAAATAAGTGAACGAGAAAAATAACAAGTGCTAGAGAAGATGTGGAGAAAGAAATCCTCATGCATTGCTTGCTGGTGGTTATATAAAAGTGCTGTAGTTGCTGCAGGGCAGTGTGGTGGTTCCCCCAAGCCCCACAATCACCTCATGATTCACTAAGTCTCTGTGTGGGTATATACCCAAAATAACTGGGGGGGGGGGGGGCTGAAGATATATATACACACATAATCATAGCATTTTTCTCCTATACCAGCCAAAAAATGGGCCCCGCCCAAGTGGCCATTAATGGATAAATGAATAAAATGTGGCATATAGGAAAGACAGGATAGTCAGCCTTAATAAGGAAATTCTGACCCAACTTTCACTACAAACAAGGCATTATGCTACGTACAATACTCCTGATCTAACAAAGAAACTATTAAATAATCTCATATGGCATATCCAGAGTAGTCAACTTCATAGAAGCAGGGAGAAAAGTAAAAATGGTGGTTTGCCAAAGGCAGGGAGGAAGAACAGAAGGGCAACAGACATGGAGTTTCTGTTTGAGATGAAGACTGTTCTGGAGCTAGGTGGTGGTGATGATGGCTACACTGATGTTCGTGTACTATTCAAAATAAAATCTGGGGCTGTGTGGTGAGGGCTGTGAGTATAGTACTAGCTGCACAAGCATCAGGGTCTGAGCTTGAATTCTCAGAATCCACATAAAAGCCAGAACACAGTAGGCAGAATCAAAGGCACACATAATTTTGTAAATTAAGAGGCCAGCTAGGGCTACACAGAACCCCCCCCCCAAAAAAAAGGGCAATGGATGCATAGTGTAAGTGTCTATAATCCCAGGGCTCCTACGGGGAGATGGCAGGCAGAGACAGAGGTCACCCTGAAGCTCATGGGTCTGCTAGCTTGGCACACACAGCACTGAGGAGGCTGCCTCAATACGATGGAAGGTGAGGACCGACACCCAAGGCTAGCCTCAGAATTTTATATACATGCTACAGCAAGCGTGCACTAGCAATCTCATGCATGAACTATGCACACACACAATAAAAATAAATTCTACCCATGCTTTTCATCAAGCATATCAGTTAAGATACTGTTACAACAAGCAGAAAGGAATTTATAATAATAATGATGCAATACAAACATAGTGTAAAACCTTGTGTCTTTTGATATCTCACGAATAAGAAAGCACATCATATTTCTACAGCAGTTACAAGAGAACTGGTACTTCTACAAGTGCATGTTAGTTCTAGCTCCCTGGGGATTTCTGGGCTTTGCTTGGCAGTCACTTTACCACTGAAAATCCCCAGCCCGATATACACTAATTTATCATTCTCAGTTAAATTAAAAGCCAACTACATAAGCAAAGCAGTTTGTTAAATTTAACAGATTGTGACTTTAACCAACCTTTGTGTGTCTTCCATCTCCTTTACAAGACGCTCTAAAGTATTTGTATAAGTTCCACTCTGAGCATATTCCTAAAAAAAAAGAAGGTTTAAAAAATACTTTATAACTTACCTTAGTAGAACTGCAATATTAAGTTATTCAGAGTATTAATGACTATTTTCTGTCAGTAACCTGGGTCTGGATGATACCCTTCTTAAAGGAAAAATTTTCACCATCATGCTTTAAATCTAGCATTCTATATTGCAGGCAATTTTATCCCAACATCCATTAGGAGGGACGCTGCCTGTAAAACCCTGCTAACCTCAGAGTCTGGATGCAAACACCCAAAGGCTCTGTGGCATCCCTATCTTTGCTTCTGCATTCTATTTTAGTGAAATCAAACTACTACTAATTTTTAGGTGTTACCATGGAATATTACACCTTCCCCACCAAGCTTTACGGAAATCTTAAAATTAATACAGTTTACTCCCAAGATAGAATGAAGCACTTTATAAATAAAATTGCACACCACAATTAACAACATTTCTACACTCTACCTTCATTTACAGCAGTGGTCTCCAAAGCAGGGGGTGTGCAAGGTGATCCATTGGGGTGCAGGAAGAAAATAATAGAACTTCTATTTATATGGAACTTCTATAGAAACTCCAGAAGAACTTAATCTATAGTAACGTCTATATAACTGCCACAGAAAAATACTTAATTTTTCTTTTTCCTTCTAACTTCTGTTTTTGTATATACTTTATTTCAAAAGTACACAGTATTATAGTGGTACATGTATAGAATCTATAAGTTACATATATATTGGGGGTACATGCTTAAAGTTCCTTTTAATAAAAAAGTACATGTGATCAAAAAAGTTTGGAGACCACTGATTTACAATAATAAAACTGAAGATATGGGGAACTCATTTACCAAAAGAGAAATTCATACCCATGTTAGTCAGTCTAATGATGAGTTGTAGTGGTAAACACTGAATTTAAAGTTAACAACTATCTTCTTTAATTAATCCATCTTTTCCCCATCAACTGAAGACAAACTACCACAGAACTACTTACTATATAGTCTGATGACGGGGATCTAAGCCCCTTGGAAAAGGCAGGAGGCTTTCCTGAAGCTGTAGGAGTCTGGTTGAAGTTCAAAGCCATTATTTCTTCCAGTGATTTTAATGTTTCCTCTTCCTCATCACTCTCTAAGTTGTAACCTAAACTTTCTTCATCACTATCAAAATCACCCCTGAATTTCCTTTTCAGTGCACTGCTACCTGCATTGAAATTTCCTGAACTCTCTTTATCTGAAGGTGCTGCAGGGCTTGGGACACGCGGCACAACTTCCAAGGCAGCCGGGGGAGACTCTGTAGGAGGGCTGTACTCTGAATGCAAAGATCCCCCACAACTTTTCCCTGAAGATTCATTAGAAACAGCCTTAATAGTCTTTGCTTTGTGTTCCTTGTGTTTGGAGGATTCTGCAGAATGCCCAGAACGTTCTTTAGAGGAAGAACGCTCTTTATCTTTTTTAGGAACTGGAAGAGTGCAATTTTTAGCATTTAATGGTACTCGAGAGGAAACAGCACTTGGAACATGGGAAAGTAAAGGTAGTTTTGTCTCTTTTGATGTCACAGAGCCAGCTGGTTTACTTTTCTGAAGGTTGCTAGCTCTTTTAATTGTGGATTTTTCCTGAGGTAAAGGTAAGTGGGGTTTCTGTATTTTAGTCTCTTTGGTACTTGCTGCGTGGACTTGGTCACTATTCCTGGAAGAATGGTGGCCAGAATGTGAAGGTGCCACGTCTGCAGAAGAACGACCTCTTTCATCATCAGGTTCCTTGGCTATGTCTTCCAAGCGCAGAACACCACCGGGCGTCTTCAGTGCAATGTGTCTTATAAACTTTTCTCTCTGATGTGATGTGTCTGGACGCTTCTCTAGGAAGGGCTCTTTTGCTTTTGGTATGATAGATTCTTTTGTGCTTTTCAGATCTGAGTCCACAGAGTTCCTTTTTCTTTTGTCGGAGAATTTGTTCTGCTTAGAGCCTAAAATTAATTTTTGTCATATCAGTGAAAGGTAAACTGTTCTGTCTCAAGCTTATTCATAAAACACTCTGATGAAATGCTTAAATTCTAAGTTTAGCACATGCATACACACACACACACACACATATATACAAATACGCACACACACACATATTTAAAAAAGAGAAGTGATAGTGATATTCATGATATTTAGAGCTAACAACATATGCTCATTTTTACCACTAGTCTACCAGATTACTATCTTACCAAAGGTATCACTCCTTAAAACTTAAGACCTTGTACACAGGAGGTAATGAAGGGATTCTAGAGTACTTCTGTTCAAAGTGAATATTCTTTTCAGGCCCCAAACCACCTGGTTATAAAAGAAATGAAATACTTCTATATATAAAAGTGTGGGAGGTTTAGATTATAAGCAGATACAGGATTAAAAAGAAGATAAATAACTTATTTAAAAATAAATTCACTGGGTGTTGTGGTACATGCCTTTAATCCCAGCACTTGGGAGACAAAGGCAAGAGGATCTTTGGAATTCAAAACCAGCTTGGTCTACACAGAGTTCCAGGACAACTAAAACTACACAGAGAGCTCTGTCTCAAAAAAGAAAAAAGGCAAAAAATAAATTCTACCCTGCAATGCGGTGCATACCTATAATCTCAGCAGACATGAATGAATCTGAGGCAGGAGGATCATGACTACAGGCCCAGTCTGGGCTACAAGAGGGTAGAAGAATTGGACAACCATGTCTCAAAAAAGAAAACACCAAAACAAAAACTAAGCCAATAAATAAACTCATCCAAGTAGTTCCATGTAGTGACTACTGCTAATTCTTAAATGTCCCTCACAGGTTGAACTGTGTCTTCCCAAATATGGTCAACTGCTGACCTTCAGCACTACAGGATGAGAACTTAACTGGGAACAGGATCTTCACAGACATACCTGAATTAAAACAAGGTCAATGTAAATGACACGCTGCCTTATAAAATGAGCCAAAGACTGGTATGCTAGTTACAAGATACCACTAACTGACTGATGCAGTTACAAGTCAAGGGAAGACTGCAAGCAAACGCCAGAAGCTGTAAGATGTGAAAAAGCAATCTTCTCCTAGAGGAATCAGGAGGGCCTGACCAATGCACTGACTTTAGACCTCAGCTGTTTAGAACTATGAGGTAATAACTTTTGTTGTTTTAAGCTACCCTAGCTTGAGTACTTTGTTACAGATGCCTGTGTTTATTAAGAGCTGTAACCAGAAACACTTTAATAACTGTATATTTGCCCAGTGTTGATGGTGCATGCCTTCAATTTCAGTACTCAGGAGGCAGAGGCACGTAGATCTCTTCTGAGTTCAAGGCAAGCCTGGTCTACAGAGCTAGTTCCAGGACAGCTAGAACTACACAGAAAAAATCCTGTCTAGACAAAAACAAAACAAAAACCAACAACAAAAACAATGTAGGAAGAGATATCAGATGACTAAGAGACAAGGTTGAGGTAGTTAAGTATCATATTAGAAAGACAATAACTACAGAGCTGGGTTTGCTCCACTATACTAGGAAGCCAAATCATTTATATATAGATAGAAGACAAAGCCTTGATTTGGTGAGAAGTACCTAGAAACAAACAAAAATTGTTTATGAAAATACTTTAGGACAAGTCAATTACTAAGAGTTGTTACTATTTCAGCTAGGCATAGTGGTCCATGCCTGTGAGAATACTACTCTGGAAGCAGATGCACAAAGATCTTGAATTTGAGGTCAATTGGTACCTCAGGTAGACTCCACACTTTTGTGTGTACACATGTGGAAGCAGAGGTTGATGCCCAGCGTCTTTGCTGTCCACCTTGTCTCTAAGGCAGGCAGTCTTTCACTGAAGCTGGGAACCATCATTTTGGCTGGACTGGCTGACCAGTGAGCTCCTGAACATCTTTTTCTGTTCCCTGGGCAATGGGATCACAGGCATGTCTCATTGAGCTCAGCTTTTACATGGGTGCTGGGGATCCAGACTCAAGTCTTCATGCTTGCATAGCAGCATTTCACCCAGGGAGCCATCCTCCCCAAGCCCGAAGTGCTCTTTTCTAAACTTTTAGGAAGTAGAGGAACTGAAAATTTTTCAGTTCTTTTAGTACTTCTTAGTCTATAAGGTGGATATTTGTTTCACAGTACTTTGATTATTTATTAACATAAAGTATTTAAGTCAGAGATGAGTTGAGCTTGTACAATGTCAAAAAAATTTAATGTTGATTAATTATGGAGACTAGTCATTAAACTATCAAATGTACCAGGACCAATTAAGATGAAGCCAAAAGAAGGCTTTGGAAGGCCAAATCCATAAGTCTCTATCAATATTTAAAAGATTCTTAAACTTGTAGCAACTAATAATAGTATAAATTTATATAGGTATAGATCTCTACATTATCACATTTGAGTGTAATATCAGACTTAACATTTGTATTTTGTGTGTATGTTTGAACATGCAAACCACACATGCACAAGTCTTTATGTAGGTGTGTATGTATGTATATGCCCCAGTGTGTGAAGGGTCTCAGAGGTCAACACTGGATATCCTCAATCAATCTTAACTTTCTTTTTTGAGACAGGGTCTCTTACTGGATCTGGAGTTCCTCAATTCAGCAAAACTAGCTGTCAGGCAAGCTCCAGGGATTGTCCTGCCTCCTAGCACTGGGATTATAGGTAAGTCCTGCCATGTGTCAGGTTACACACAGAAACTAGAGCTCTGCACAACAAGCAACATCAAGTGAGCATCTCTCTAACACCTTTTTGTTTTCTGAGACAGGCCTCTGAAACCACTTACCTTCTAGGGGCTGTGATTATAGGCATGAACTACCATGTACAGCTCCATTTTTAATATTACATATAATGCCACAAGGAACACAGTGAGTTTCCTGAATATATCTTCCTGAATGCAGGAACAATTCGTACAGTTCATTTTCCAAAGTTTAAAGTTATGGCAGAAAAATCTAGGCTTTTCATTTCTCAGTATTAAGTTTCTGCAATGTTAAATTTTTTACAACTATAATTCTGGATCCCTACTTTAAATCTTTTTACACATGGTTGTCATCTCAAGTTGCTTCAGATCTTTCTGAAAGCAAAAGAGATTTAACATTTGCATGACACTTCCCAGGCTACTATACAACACTAAACCAGGTTCTTATCAGGCTCATTTTCAGTGTTTAAATTTTAATGTTCTATTTTTCTACTGTTAAGAAAAGATACTTTAAGCTGGATGGTGGTGGCACATGCCTTTAATCCTAGCACTTGGGAGGCCGATGCAGGCGGATCTCTGTGTGTTCAAGGCCAGCCTGGTCTACAAAGCTACACAGAGAAACCCTGTCTTGAAAAAATTCAAAAATAAAAGGTACTTTAACTCCTCAGTTAGGTGGTCCTGGTAGCTCATGCCTTTAATTCCAGAACTGGAGAGGCAGAAGCATCTATCTCTATGAGTTTGAGTCCAGCTTGAGCTATACAGGGTTCCAGGACAGCCAAGGCTATAAAGAGAGACCATGTCTCTGAGTTAACAATAGCTATTTATGATGTATCTTCTCAATGAACAGACATTAAAATAAATACTAATATCATGTAGATGTCCTTGGGATGTTACATTACAAAGGCATCTTTGCATTTGGAATATTATAAACAAGTATCTTGTTTTAACTTCATACAAAGCATTGTTAACAGTACACCAAGATTAAAAGTATATGCTGCTGCTCATTTGTTCTGGGACAGCAACCCACTGTAGCCCAAGCCAGCCCCAAACTTGCAATCCTCTTCCTTCAGTCTACTGAGTGCTAGAATTACATGTATGTGCTGTGCCATCACATCTAACATCAAAATTATGTTTCTTGTATAGCTAAGGATTCAGAAGTGAAACACTCAATATCAATAGAACACACTGTTAAAACACACTATTAGAAACTTCTAAAGAAGGCAGAGAGAAATAAAGACAACAGATTATGAAGAATAAATTCAAGCACTTTTTTTTTGAGGTCAGGTCTCACTCAACGTAGTTCAGGCTGACTTCAAATTCTAGACTCTCCTGTGTGCCACCATACCTAGCTCTGAATATTATTCTTTTGAAATGTAATTTTATCAAACTTTTTATATGAAACATTTAATTCTAGGACGGAAACTGAATATAAATAAATTTATTTTAAAAAGTGGTATGAAGAAGATGCAAACTTACTTAGAAACTGTATGCTTAAGTCTGATGCTACCTACCTGAAAGTTCCCAGGAGTCTGAAGATGATCTTTTTCTTGAGAGATGTCCATTTTCCTATAAGGAAGTAAAGAACATGAATTTACATTTGAACAGATTTCTAGACTAATAAAGCAAGCACCTATATTCAGAGATAGCTTAAAAAAAAACAAACTTTAAAGATCTTAAAATGAAGGGTATGGGCTGGTGCAGTGGTACAATGCTTGTCTAGAAACACAAGGCCTGAATGCAATATCTAGCACTAGGGAAGCACACACAGCCATCTGTACCATAAACCATCAAAAACAAAACAAAACAACAACAAAAAAAATGAAGTCTGTTTCACAAGCTAACAGTAATTTATATTAATAATGCAAAAGTTAAAACAATAGTTGAAGACAGTCTATGAACCAAATTTACATCTATGGATCATTAACAACATTAGCAGTAAAGGGATAATCTCATTGCAAAAAGGCCTCTAAATTTACAAGTACCTTCTAATAATACACAATGCTAAGACTTCTTCATATTCACTCCTAGAACATTCAGTTTTTGGTTTAACTGATTTGAATGTTTCATAGTTGCTTATCAACATCGCACTTCTTGGCAGTGTTGGGGGCTCAACCCAGGACTTCTCAAATACTGGGTAAGCACTCTGCCACACAGCTGCATTCCCAGTTCTATACTGTTTTTGCTTTTGAGACAGGACTTGGTTATGTACAACAGCATAGTTTAACTTTCTAAGGAAGAGGGTAAGCTTTGATGCTAATCTTGAGTTTGTATTCTCAAAAGAAAAATGATAGGACTAAAAAATACAGGCAGTTTTCCAAGTCATCAGTTATGTTTCCAAGACCCATACTTAATCAAATCAGATAATTGTCTAAGATTTGTACATGGGTCTGGAGAAATAGCTCAGCAGTTAAAAGTTGTGCTCTTATGCAACTTGAGTTTTCAGCACCCACATCAGGCAGCTCACAACCACCTGTAACTCTATCTCCAGGGGATCTGGTTTCTCCACATACAGGTTCAAATAAAATAAATCAAAGATATATATCTGGAACAATGATTCTTGAAGTTTTGCAGTGCATCAGTTATCTGTAGACTCCTGGGCTCCAACTCCACTGTCTCTCACTAGGCAGAGATTGCATGTCTCTGACAAATTCCCAAGTGCTGCTAATTCTACTACTGCTCGGAGGACATTTTAAGCACTGCTCTAAATTGTTTCCTGTTCTTTTACATTTGCCATTCCTTAAGCACCTCCTTTTGGAAATCTTAACTTTAAAAAATGACTATACTTGCCTGAATGTTTACTTTCCATTAGAAAAGATCTTTGTTACTGGTCTGAAAAAATTAGGGGAAAGAAATTTACTGATAATAATAATAAAACCAGTGTCAGTCCAAATTATGCATCTGCATTTCCTTAAATGTTATAGATTAGTAAGTATCTTTAGACTTAGGAGCTAACCATGGTACAGTGGTGGTAAACTTAACTACTTTTATTATTGTACATACCAGATTTGAAAGATTACTCTTTCCAGGTACAGCATCATTCTGTTTACTGTGTTCATGTCTTGGCTTACATTTTTTCCCTACACTAGAGGATTTTAAGGAAAGATTGCTCGTTTCTGAGAAAGAATTTTCCGAGTTGATTCTCTGTTCCATTTGTTCCTTTCTCAACTTCTTCTGCTCTCGTTCTCGGCAGTAAGAAGCTAATGACAACTGGAACTTAGCTCCCAGTGGGCTTTCTCCTGGGTGGTGCCGGGATAGGCTGCTTCTGCTACTAACACTTCTGGAACTGTTCTTGAAGATGTCACCTTCTGTTGCTGGGGCCTGCTTTCTGGAGTCTTCACTGGTCTTGCCTCGATCTCTGTCATTCTTCTCCCTGTTACTTTCATGAATGGACAGTGACTTCCTTCTCTCTGGAGACCTATGTTTCTTCTTCCGTGGCTTCACCTCCTTGGGCAATCGGTAAGAGGAAGGAGGATAGATACCTGTTCCTTGGAGTAAATATTTGGAGCCGACTGACATACAAGGCCGCCGTGGTTCATGTACACCATGATCTTTGTGGTGCTCTTTCCCGCCTTTCATGAAAGCTTCTAAAATAGGACTTTGCTCTGATGACATTCGTTTGGGTTTGGGTTTTTTTGGTGAAGATAATTTCCTTTCAAAGTGTTCTGTCCCACTGATGGGTCCTCCATTCCCTCCATATCTGATGTTTGATTTTTGTGGAGAATCCAACATATGTTTGTCTAAAACAGCCACAATTAAAACACATACAAGTTGTGTTATTAAAAATGTTTCAGTTAACTGTCAATGCATAACTGGATTGATGCTACTAAAAAATTCCAGCCAATTGCTATTTGGGTAATAAAGTACATTGTGGAAGAGAGAGGAATTAAATAGGTTTACCTTTTATGAAGTATATGTTGATGAAGCCCTTCTGCTATATCATCTAACCTCCCTAAGGCTCTATTTGTGAGTTATGTACTAGAGAATAAAGATAATATAAACATTGGGAGGCAGATCCCTGAGTTCAGGCCAGCCTATTCTACAGAGTGAGTTCCAGAACAGCCAGGGCTACACAGAGATACCCTGTCTTGGGAAAAAAGAATAAAATATCAACACTATAAACTGGACTATTTTAAATGTTAAATATGTAGAACAGATGGCTTAATGTTTATCACATCTTCATTATAAAAGTATAATTTTCAATTCTGAACAGTACAATGAAAGTCTGGAGACCCTCTTCACCTCTAAAACAACCCATCAAAAATACATTAACAATATGCATACCTTGTTTAGAAGCTGGTTTGAAGAAATCTATGATTGATTGTTTCCTGAAAATAAAAGCACAACTAATAAGTATTAAAACCTCAATATTTTAGATTCAGTCATGAATGCTAAATTTATATAATACAGGCTGGATTCTACTAACTGAATTAACTAGTCAAGTTCTGACAATGGTAATCATACTATGCTATGCTACAAGAAAATTGAAAATACAACCATTTTTCTCTAAGTCTATAAATACAAATGAGATAGTACTAAAATGGCAAAACGAAAGTGTGAATCTAGGGAACTGATGAGTCCTGTTTAGTCTGGAAATACTCACACCTACATGCTAGGGTAGCAGACCCTGGGAAGAAGCATCTGATTATATTTGTTATAACCTCCAGTGATTGGCAAAAAATACCATTCAAATAGAAACCTGGTACGTAGTGGAGATCATAAGCTCTAACAGACTTGCAGCAGGAGTAGAGTAACAGAGGGCAGAATGAACAATCCAGTTGATCTGGGGAGGTAGTTGAAAGGGATGCGCAAGACAAAAGCAGAGAGGAGCATGTATGAGTCTTACACTAATCTCTTTTTGGTTTATAAAATGCTAAACAGTAAAGACTAGGAGCTACAACATGTGTTTCAAATGTTATCTAAGATTCCTTAAGATTAGCCAGGAGCAGTGGCACACACCTTCAATTCCAGAACCCAGGAGACAGAGGCAAGTGTATCTGTGAGTCTGAGACAAATCTGTAGTGAAATCTAGGCCAGTAGTGAGACTTTGTTGGGGGGAGGGGGCGCCTCACACTCATACACACCAAAAACAACAAAAAACACAAAAAAAGAGTTTGAGGGCTGAAGAAATGGCTCAGTGATAAGAGCACTTGCTGCTGTTGCAGAGAAGTGGATTTGGCTGTTCACAAATGTCTAACTCCATGTCCAGGGTATGTGATGCCCTCTTCTGGTCTCCTCAGGCACCAGGCACACACATGGTACAGATATACACGCAGCCAAAACACTCATAAGTAAAATTAGAAAACAAACAAACAAAAAACAACCTTTTACAATGAAAAATAGATATGAAAGTTAACAAGTAAAGAACAAAACAAAATCCAAAACCAAATTGGTTTAATAATTTTTATGGGTTACTGTGCTCTAACCTATACTCTGATTTGTTCATGCATGTTGTCAGTTATGAAAGGGGAGAAGTTATATGTAAAAAAACATTGAGTAAATAAAATAATTTACTGAAGTACATCTATTTTGCTGAAAGCCAGTAAGTGGTAGGCTATCAGAGTCTGAACACTTCTTCTATGAGGATAGAGTACTCAGTGAAAAGCCTGAGCAATCCGAATCCAAGGTTGATCTACTTTTCTATCTTATATTTTACTGGTCACATCTTCCCTAGTTTATCTAGACTCTACAGGTATGTTGCTAGAACCTAAACAGTGCTGAGTGAAATGTGACAGGTTATAGAACATAGGCCTTTGTTTACAGAAAGTAAATTACATTAGGTAAATTAACTCCACCACTGAGTAAAGAAATGCTAGAGTCTGCAAAGTGCAGACAAATGATGCCCTATTGTTGGTAGCTGCAAAAGAACCCAGAAACAACTAATTCAAATCAAGATTTACTAATGCCTCTTTGCTAAATATAACAACATATCTCTCCCCTAAAGCATTAACCCTAATACTCCTCTTCAATACACCAGAAAGAGGGGGAAAAAGGACTTTGGGTAAATAATGTAACCATAAATGAAACTTTCTAGAGGTAAAAAGAATAGCTTCCTAAGTTCAAATGCACAGAAATGTCCATGACTTATCTATAACTGGTTAAAAAAAAAAATTATGACAGCCTTACAAACCTTTATCTGAAGTTCAGACACCAAACATGTGTTAGAATTCTGGATTTATTGTATTTTTGGGAAGGAAATAATTTGAATATATTATGTATGGTCCCCAGTAGGGTCTGGTGTTATAACCTGTAGTCAAACATACTATTTCTCTAGCGAAGCTTATGAGCACGCAGAAGAATAAAGACCATCCACAACCTTTTATTATTAGCTCTGGCCAGCCTGGCTCGGCTCCCAAGTAGGCTGTGGTAGAAAACTTAATGAAAACGTTTGCTTTTCATAGCTTTCTGGCTTTCAGAATTAAGATAAAGGATTGTGAGTCTGTGTCACAATATTAAAGCATACATTTACTTTAAAACGTGTTACTACTTTTATAAATTAAAATAAAAAAGACAGTACCAAGTTCGTAGATAATTTAAACATGTTTTATTGTCAGAAGATGCCATTTGATGAAACTCTCCATTATTACACAGCTCCCAGAAAAATCTTTACCGAAAAAAGGGAAAAAAAAAATGAAAATGAAAAAGGAAAACAAAGGTTCTCAGAGAGGCAGAAAGTTACTCAATGAGAAAACAGGCGCATTCCAAAAATGTTTTTAGTGTGAATGATCATGTACACTGTACTATAAAGTAATTCGTGGGTTTTCTCTATCACATCTTACATAATTTCACTCACAGTGTAGAAACCACCATGATAAGAACGGTCTAAACAGATACATCGAGTAGGGAGGTACCAGGTCAAGCTCTCGAAAAGAATAAAAATAGCATTCTACCTAAGGCGAGCTTTCCGTAGCCCCCGAGGCTGGTGGTCACTAGACCAAAAGCAACACCCCAACTACAGAAAAGGAGACTCCAACTCCCAGAAGCCCCTGCGCGAAGGCGGGGCAAGGGCTGCAGGCCCCAGAATATCAAGGCCTGAGCTCGCTGAGGATGGCGGGAACTGAAGAGCAGCGGTCCGCAGTCCTCCCTTCTACCCGTGCCCCCGCGACCCGGCCCCGTCTCAAGCCCCCTGCACGGTACCTGTCCCCAGGGATCTCTGTTCTTTTTCCCGCTGCAGCAGGGGCGGTACTACCGGGTCTCAGATGGCAGCGCGGGGGCGACGACCCCGGGGCTGGGGATGAGGGGAAACCTGGCCTAGCGGGCATGCAGCGCCTTGTCATGTCGGCGCCGCTGGCGACGGCGGCATGAGCTGTGGCTGGAGAAGCTGGGTGCGTGGTTGCCGTCTTGCTGCTGGGACTCGGGGAGGCTGTCGGTGCAGAGGTGGGCGGCACCCCCTACTCTCTTCATGGCGGTTCTCTCTTCGGAAGTGACTCCGGTGTGAGCGGGAAGGAACCTGAGGACGGCCAGGGGGCGGGCCTTACTTGAGGTGCCGCGTCTTTATTGGCTGACCTGGGGGTCACTCTGGTGGTGATGCAATAGGAAGCCTCGGCCTGCTCGGAGGAGGCGGGGCTTTCTGGAAGGGGGAGGGGAGAATGAAAACTGCCCTCCCCAGACCCGTCACGTGCGCCTGGGGCGCGCGCCTCTGCGTCGGGGCCGCGTCGGCCTTGGCGGGTGCGTGGGAGTGGGAAAGCGGAGGCTGTGGCCGGTGATACGACAGCTGGCGACACCCGCCTGATCGAGGGCTAGGAGTGAGGATTGCAGAAGTAAACCCGAGCCTGCAGCTGTTTGCAGTGAGGATGGCAAACAGTTGTCACGATTGTGCTACACAAGTGCACAGCTGCGCTAATATTACATAGTCACTTTAGCATCTTAGGCCAAAGTGCATAATGCTGTCACCATTTCCTCAGTAATCCGCTGTGTCTATTGTGATTTGACCGTTCTGTGAGGGATCTTGTATACAGTAATATGGTTTCCCCCCCCCCTTTATTTTTAACCCCACTAAGGGCAGGGTAGGGAGGACACCTAATCATTGAATTAGACATTTTTTATTCTGTAAAAGTGTTTTTCTTGTAATGGGTTTCCCATGAAGTTCTTGCAAATAGACGTTTTTGAAGATTTTCGGACGTACCGGTCTTCATCTGTTTCTGCTTTGAAGGCTGTTAGGCTGGGTTTTCTTTACAAACTGAGAGACTGGTCAAACAGTATTTCAAAACCTATCTTTCCCTGTATATAGAATGGGTATATTACTCACTTCTCTAGGTAATTTTAAACAATAAAAAAGAGCAGTGTAAATAGGTTTAGAGTCTATCTTTTATCCTTCAGATAGACTCCTGCAGTAACAGGGCAGTTGCTATAGGGAAGGCCTGAGTCCTAGCACTTGGGAGACTGAAGTAGAAGGGCCAAGAGATTGAGGCCACGACTATGGTGATAGTTAAAAGCATAAAGGAACTTGCTTTCGTGACCCAGGACCTCATGGCAGAAGGAGAAAACAGATTCCATCCAGCAAGTTATCCTGTTACTTGTCAGCATACATATACATGAAATAAATGTAGTAAAAGACACTTTTTTTTTTTTTTTAAGAGAGAAATAGCTGGCACTTGGGAGGAGAGGTAGGTGGGTCTTTGTGAGTTCAAGGCCAGCTTGGTCTACAGAGTGAGTTCCAGGACAACCAGTGTTACACAAAGAAACCCTGTCTTGACAAACTGAGAGAGGGGGGAGAGACAGAGAGAGAGAGATAGATATTGAGGCTAGCCTTAACTGCATAGTAAGATCCTGTCCCAAAAGAGCTAAATAAAATCTTCCAGAGACTGAAAAAAAATCCTATTATAATGCTTGTTAATAAACAAAATATCAATCTCAAAGACGTCTAGACTTCAATTAAGGGGAATGTTCTCTCAGTTGGATAGAACAAATTCCTAAATGACACACACAAAAAAAATTGAACAGGGCTTCCAAATTTATTGTACTGAGATTGAATTGCTTCTGCTTCTGAGCCACTAGACTGACCTGAAGTTCACCTCTTTTCTCTTCCCTGGTAGCCCTCAAGAGGAAGAATTAATGAGAATAAAGCCACCAATAAGCTGGCAAAGGAAGAGGTAGGCGGTAAAGAGTAAACACAAGTCTTCCCAGAATGCACAACTGTATGCTAGGTACTGAAGGTGTAAGAAAAGAAATACCTAAATCAGGGGCACTTTTTCTGCTTCTTATGACTGAGAATTTGCTGTACTGCTTATATGTATTATTCCATACATTAAAAAAGAGCACATTAAGTGCTCAAAAATATGTTGACTAATGACATATTTTTTTATGTCTTTTTATGTACATTATTTCCTATCCCTTCCTTGATTTAGTACTTTGTGTTGGCTAAGTCTCCACTGGAAAGTCCTTTCTTCCCTGACAGCACAACCACAAAACTTTTAAGGCGATTTGTTTAATTGCACGCTCAGTCCATAAAAAGAATAAAACATAAAGACATATTCTGCATGATCAATTAGCCTATTTTCTTGGATTATAGTATTTGAATCAGCCAGCCTCCAATGTATCGCTTTAAAGTCTCTACTCATACTGCCACACAATAGTTTTCACGTTTTCTTAATCTGATCAGCAGATTATGAAGTTAAGTGAGGCAAGAAATCCCTTGATCAATAAATGGAGATGGAGTCTTAAAGAAAGCACAATTTAAAAAAATCTCTCAGTAACTGGGAAGTAGTTACCTAAATCCTCAATAAACATCAAGGCCTTTCTTTGCTTAAGCTGCACAGGGAAAAGATACAGATTTGGGTTGCAAGGTGAGATGCATTCAGCCTATTAACAAACGTCTAGAGCCTGAGACTCTTTCCTCCAAAGAGAACTGGACGTCTGTCTTGTGTTTAGCCTCATTTTCCACTTTAAATGTGTACAATACACTATGCACAGCCTAAGAGCTTCCCCTGCCTCGCTGAGGGTGGAATTCAAGGTCTCATGTACATGAGGCAAGCACTCTGCTACTAGGCTATTCCCAGTTTGCTGAGAGCTCTCTCAGTCTTTTTCCTTTTTTACATTTTAGTGACTAAAAATAGATGGTCAGGAAACTGTAAACTGTAAACGCTGTCAAAAGAGCTCTCGTGTGTGTTCTCACAGGGTGACAAGACAGGAGAGAAAAACTGAGGTGTGTGTGTGGGATATGGTGATGAACAGTGTCAGCAAGACTCTGTGAGAGCTAACACAGCTCTCCAGCTGCTATTGAAAAAAGAATTTGGGGCTGGAGAAATGGCTCAGAGGTTAAGAGCACTGGCTGCTCTTCCAAGGGTCCTGAGTTCAATTCCCAGCAACCACATGATGGCTCACAACCATCTATGGTGAGATCTGGTGCCCTCTTTTGGCATAAAGGTACCTATACAGGTAGGACACTGTACATAATAAATAAATAAATAAATAAATAAAATCTTTTGGGGAGCTCATGACCACCAGCATAGGACCAACCCAGACCCCTGAATGTGGGTCTCAGTAAGGAGGCCTGAGCAATCTGGGGCCTCTGGTAGTGAATTAGTATTTATCCCTAGTGTACAAATGGACTTTGGGAGCCCATTCCACATTGAGGGATACTCTCTCAGCTTAAACACATGGAGGAGGGCCTAGGCCCTGCTCTAAATGATATGACAGACTTTGAAGATCCCCCATAGAAAGCCTCACCCTCCCTGGGAAGCAGAAAAGGCATGGAATAGAGGGTTGGAGGGGGTGGGGGGACAGAGAGGAGGGGAGGAGAGGAAACATGTTTAAAAAAAAAAAAAAACAACTTGTTTCTAATTTAAATTTTTAAAAAAGGAAAAAGAAAAGAATTTGGAGAAAGGAAGGCTGAACTGTAAATGGCTAGTTTGGTAAGATTTCTGAGCACCAGGATAAGGAAGCAAAGGCCAGGACCTGGAGTAGCTTTTTAAATTTTATTATTTATTTGGTGTTTTGAGCCATAGTTTCTCTGTGTACCCTCAGCTGTCCTCAAACTTGATCTGTAGACCAGGCTGACCTTGGACTCACATATTCATGTGCCTCTTCCTCCTGAGTGCTGGGATTAACGGCTAAATTATTTGTGTGTGTGTGTGTGTGTGTGTGTGTGTGTGTATTCTGTCTACATGTATGTCTGTGCACCACGTGCATGCCTGCTGCTCACAGACGCAGGAAGGCAGCATTGAATAACCCTGGAACGAGTTACAGACCATTGTGAACAGCCATGTGGGTGCTGGGAATTGAACTCTGTGTCCTCTGAAAGAGTAGCCAGTGCTCTGAACCACTAAGCTGTGTCACTATCCCTGCCCACCCAGTGGCTTCTGTAAATAAAGTATTTGTGAGCTACAACTCAGTAAGTCAGCAAGCTCTGATACAGAAGGGATGGGAGAGGTAGGTAGCCAGGGAAAACTTTTATGTGAACAATGGAACAAGTTCTCTAGGAAAGGAGCTCTGGGTAGGAGTCCTGGGAGGAGTGACTATCTAAGGGATACCAGGATCCCAAGCAATCACAAAGACTTGCTAAAGAACCTCAGCACTCAGGGATTAAGAGACTAAAGAGATTTATCAGTGGATAACAAAGACTCGATAAAAAGCTGGAAACATGGAATGCAACTTCTGGCTTTACAAGAATGGCATGGTTTTGTGTTGAGATTGCTCTACTTGGAAATTAACTTCAAGGCTCTCAGAGGGTGCCCTAGGGCAGGCCAAGAGACAAAGACCCATGTGCTGGGGAGAGGGTGGGGGTAGGAGTGTGTGGAGGGTGGTCTGAGAGGTGGGATAAGGAACAGACTCAGAGAAACAGGAAACAAGGAAACAATTAACTTGAAAGCCTGACAGAGAAAGACAGATCTCAAGAAGGGAAGGTGGGTTCACTATGGCTCAAGACACACACACACACACACACACACACACACACACACACACACACACACACACACACACACACACACACACCACCTTTGCAAACAGATGTTGAACTTAACAGGGTTGAGCAAAACAGGGCCAGGAAAAGCAGGAATTTAGCTTCAGGAACCTCCTGCAAGGTGCCGAATTTAATATACTGTCACACAATCCAAATGTCCTAAGAGTAAATAGTAAAACTGCAAAAACCACAGCTAAGGATGCCTACTTCATGTTATTTCCCCATGGGAATGTTTCAAGACAGTTTCCCCTACACACACTAGAAATATATTTGTGATTTTTGTATCTAACAACTGCCTATCCTATTGCTTAGTTACTTCATCTTTTGTCATCTTTGCTGGGGATCAAATCCATGCCAGGCAAGTGTTCTGCCAACTAGCTACATCCCTGATCCTTGCTGTTTTGAGACAGAGCCTCACCGTATACCTCAAGCTGGCCTTGAACTCACAATCCTCCCACCTCTACCTCTTAAGGACAGGGATTATAAGTGTGTGCCATCACAGCTGTTCTGACAAACAGGTGACATAAATAGCACATAGTAC